TTTTCTTCTTCTTCTTCTTCCTCCTCCTCCTCCTCCTCCTCCTCCTCCTCCTCCTCCTCCTCCTCCTCCTTCTTCTTCTTCTTCTTCTGATTTATTTATTTTGTATACAATGTTCTGACTGCATGTGTGCCTACACTCCATAAGAGGGCACCAGATCTCATTACAGATGGTTATGAGCCACCATGTGGTTGCTGGGAATTGAACTCAGGACCTCTGGAAGGAAAGTCAGTGTTCCTAACCTCTGAGCCATCTCTCCAGCTCCAGTTATGTTCTTCTTTAGTTTTTTGTTTTTGGTTTTTTTTTTTTTTTTTTTTTGAGATATAGTTTCTCTAGCTTTGGAGCCTGTTCTAGAACTCATTCTTAGATTAGGCTGGCCTCGAACTCACAGAGATCTGCCTGTCTCTGCCTCCCAAGTGCTGGGATTAAAGGTGTGCGCCACCATCACTAGGTAGGCTGCATTGTTCTTCCTTCCTTCCTTCCTTCCTTCCTTCCTTCCTTCCTTCCTTCCTTCCTTCCTTTCTTTCTTTCTTTCTTTCTTTCTTTCTTTCTTGTTTTTGGTTTTCCGAGACAGGGTTTCTCTGTAGCTTTGGAGCCTGTCCTGGAACTAGCTCTTGTAGACCAGGCTGGCCTCCAATTCACAGAGATCCGCCTGCCTCTGCCTCCCAAGTACTGGGATTAGAGGCGTGTGCCACCACCCAGCGGCTGCATTGTTCTTAACATTTGAAGTCATGAATGCATGCTGAGCAGGTGCTCCGTGGGTAGCCTAACATACGTTAGGTCTGTGATCCCTAGCATGCATGCATACACTGAGCATGCCTGTAATCTCAGCACTCAAGCATTGGGGGCAGAAGGATCAGAAATCCAAGATCATTCTTGGCAACATAGTAATTTGAGCCCAGCCTGGGCTACAGGAGACCCTATTTCAAATCATAGGAGAGATGATTCAGCAGGTAAAGGCATTTGCTTCTCTCGCAGAGGACCCTGCTGCAGTTCCCAGCAACCACCTGGCAGCTAACAACAGTCTGTATTGCGGTTCTAGGGGATCAGATGCCTCTTCTGACCTCTGAGGGCTCCTGCACACACAATGTACACACACACACACTCAGGCACACACACAAACACATACAAATAAAAACAAGAAACAAATCCAAAACATTTCCCCCCGCTGCAAAAGCCATGAACTCAACAAGCCCTTATGGTATGCCAAAAGCTGAGCTGTCTATGGTTGTGGGGTGAGGCGACCCCACTCTCTTACAGGGGCGGGGGGGGGGCGTCCTGGAAGTTCTTGGGGTCTGACTCTGGGAGAGAAGCCCGCTGACTCTTAAGCGAGCCTCTTGCCCAGTGTGGTACTCTGACCCCTGTCCCAGCCCTTCCAAGGTTGTGTCCAGGTGATGGACACAGATGACAGAGGTGGCCAGTGGCGGTGTCATAGGCCCTGGGGAGCTCCTCCAGGCAGGTCAGGTGAGGCCTACAGCAGGTGCTGTGTTCTGCAGGGGTGCTGTGCCCGCTTCGGCACGAGAAGGGCAAGAAGATGGTGGTGTGCAAACACTGGCTTCGGGGGCTCTGCCGAAAGGCTGATAGCTGTAAATTCCTACACCAGTATGACGTCACCAGGATGCCGGTGTGCTACTTCCACTCCAAGTTCGGTAATGCCCTGCCTGGTCTGTGGGGGTGATGGGTAAGGGTCGAAGAGGCCCGAAAGGCCAGCCTTGTCTGTCTGAGCCCAAGCTTCCTGCTTCTCTGAACCCTAAGAAAATCGAACCAAGGCTGGGCCCATTGCGACGCACCTCTAGTCTCAGCGCTATGGAGGCTGAGGCAGGAGAATCAGGAACTCATGGCCAGTCTCAGATACAGAGAAGTTCAAGGGTAGCCTGGACTGCACGAGACTTTGTCTAAAAGCAACAACAACCAAACAATACGAAATAGGGTCAGTTGTGGTGGGATACACCTTTCATCCCAGGAGACAGAGGCAGGCAGATCTCTGGGTCATCATCGTGAGCTTCAGGCCAGCCAGGGCTACACAATGAAACTGTCTCAAAAATAAATCAGTAGGGGCTGGGGAGGTGGTTTGGGGATTAAAAGCACTTCAGCATTTCCAGAGGACCTAGATTTGATTCCCAGAACCCACACGGCGGCTCAAAGTCGCTTAGAACTCCAGTTCCAGGGCATCTGATGCCCTCTCCTGGTGCTCTCGGGTTCCAGGCACACACATGCTTCACATACACACATGCAGGCAGGCAAAAACACCCATACACATAAAATAAAAAGAAACAAGCCTTTAAGAAACAAATAAAAAAATTAAAGGCTGCAGACCCAAATCTGCCGTCAATTAGTCTCAGCACGGCAGTCACCTCCAAGGGAAAATAATGTGGTTTTCCACTTCAGGCATGGCTAACCCACACCCAGAGACGGTCAGGTACAGCCCTGAATGACCCACCTCTCAGTCCCTACGGAACTAGTCAGGCCTTCCCACATGAGATGCATTTGGTAGCTGCACTCAGAATGGTCACCAGAACCCAGGAGGCACCCCCCCCTCGGCTTCTTCCTGTTCTCCTGCTATTTCTAACTTTTATTTTAGACGAAAATGTCATCTTACCTCCCAAAGCGGAAAGCCCACATCACTTGATGGAAAGAGAAGGTCACTGTGTATATAAAGCCACGAAGTTCAGAAGTCTGGTCCCTAAAATTATCTTGTGTGGTCAGGTCTGCTCCAGACTCCCTTGGGGCCTCAAGTCCTTCTTGGTCATCCCAGGAGCTATTTAGGGCAGCCACAGCCACCTTTCCAAACTCACCAAAAGATGGAGCCCATGAATGTTTACCTTCCCAGTGTCAAGTCTACATCTTGGTGTTTGATTAGTTCCAGTGTGGCTGGGATTATCTAGTCCACTGGTTTCTAAACTGAGGGGTTGGAGGAGGGAAGGTGAGAAGAGTGGGAGGAAGGGAGCATGCTGGATCTGCGGGCCCACCCCTCATTCAGGAGACCGCAGGGCCACACTCCTTGCAGGTAGCCAGTTCCATTAATACTGATGGGAAGGGTCCTGGCTACCCTGAAGCTGGCACAGTCTCTCTGGGGACGGGGAGGGGCCAGGCAGGGAAAGTTCATCCCATTCTTCTAGTCCAGCATTCCAGACTGTCTGCTCCAGAGAGCCGAGTCCTGTGGCAGTTCATGAGGGCTGCCAGAATATCTATCCAAACTAGAAGGACAAAGTTTATCTGGAGACAGGTCCCTGAAGCCAGGACATTCACTTAGAAATGTCCTTTTACTCTCTCAGCCCAGGGTTTCTTGTTTTGGTGATCAGATGTGGCACTGGACCATATTTTCCTACAAGTAATTTAGGACAGATGTGTAACCTCATGATTATATGTAAGCCAAGGTTTTGCTTTTTTTTTTTTTAAAGATGTATTATGTACAGTGTTCTGCCTGCATGTATCCCGACACACCAGAAGAGGGCGCCAGATCTCATTACAGATGGTTGTGCGCCACCATGTGGTGGCTGGGAATTGAACTCAGGACCTCTGGAAGAGCAGTCAGTGTTCTTAACCACTGAGCCATCTCTCCAGTCCAAGGTTTTGCTCTTAACAGTGAGTGAAGATCTCTAGCATTACACAAATAATTATATAATTATATGCTAGATGTACATGGTGGTACATGCTTTTAATTCCAGAACTCAAGGGGCAGAGAGAAACAGGCCAATCTCTGTGAGTCTGAGGCCAGCCTGGTCTATTTTTCTATTTTGTAGAATTTCAGGCCAGCTAGAATTACATAGCAAGACTGGTTTCAATATATATATATATATATATATATATATATATATATATATATATATATATATATATATATATATATATATATCATGCTTTTCTGCTTTTTACCCTAGTATTTTGGAGGTTGAGGAAGGAGGGTTAAAATTCAAAGACTACCTGAGCTACATAGGTTGTCTTTTAAAAATCACGTATGTATGTACGTGTGTGTATCATGTATGTATGTACGTGTGTGTATCATTCTTCCTTGTCATGCCGCCTCCACTTTGATACAGGGTCTCCTTATGTAGCCCTGGCTGGCCTGAATCTCACTTTGTAGACCAGGCTAGCCTCAAACTCAAAAGATCTGTCTGCCTCTGCCTCCTAAGCCCTGGGCTTAGAGAAATGTGCTACCATGGCCTTCAGCAGTGTCTCTGTTTAAAAAACAAAAACAAACAAACAAAAACCAACACCCGACATTCCTTTAAATGGTGGCACATTCCTCTAAACCCATCGCTTAGGAGGCAGAGGCAGGTGGATTTCTGTGAGTTCAAAGCCATCCTGGTTTACAAGAGTGAATTCCAGGACAACCAGGGCTACGCAGAGAAACCATGTCTTAAAAAAACCAAACCAAAACAAACCCAAACAAACAAACAAAAACACCCAAATCCCCTGCTGGATCAGCAAGTGCTGCAGAGAGAACATGAGAAGTAGACTGACCGGAAGGGGCTTGATGCAACACTGTGAAGCTGTCCTCGCGGAGGCCTGAGGCTTTGCCGGAATGACACTGTTTTGGGGTCAGTAATGCCTTTGTTCATGGTCTGTAACTAAGCCTAAGAAACTCGCATGTACACACACACAGACATACACACACAGACACAGACACACACACACACTCACACTCACACACTTACTCACTTGTTGTGTTGAGGCTTGGGAACCAGAAAGAACATTTAGAGACAGGATGGCCAACGCTGGAAAGGAGCATGTGCAGTTACAAAGGAGAGTGGAGGCTGGAGTGTTGCTGCCACCTGCTGGCGAGGAGAGGGTATAGCAACGTGCAGTGGCTCAAGCGTTCACCAACTCCATGCATGAGGTCGTTTCGAGTCCTAAAGAGGCTCAAACCCAGGGGACAGCACTCTACCAAGTTGGCTAAGGATGTGTCACTAAATGCTTTTGGTGTGAGGAAGCTGGGCGAAGAGATGAGGTACTTGCTTCTCCCTGAAGGCTGGCATTCGCGTTTGTGAAATGGAAGGGCTGGGAAAGAACGACAAACGCTTAGGAATCAAGAGCCTCTTCCTCAGGTGAAGCATCGTCTTGGTGAAGACCCCTGCATTTAAGCTAACTCTCTGGCAGACCGTATGAAGTTCCTGTTCGCTCCAAAGCGCACAGTCGTAGGGTTTTAGGGAGGGTGAGAGCAGAAACCTTCACAGGTTCTCCAGCACCTTATGGGCTCACATCTAAGGCGGTCCCCCTGAAAGGGGCCCAACCAGAAGCTCTGCTCTGTCCATGATATTTCCTCCAAAACACCCCTGCCCCTCCTTGGGCTCTGGGAATCGTGGAGGGGAACTTCCTCTGCGAGTGGCAGAGGTCTTCCAAAGATGATGGACAAACAGAAGACAGGCCAGGGGATCGATCCCATGGGAGGGAGGACCGAGGGAAACCAAGTGGGGATGCAGAAGTGGTTAAACGTGTGGACCTGCTTATATACAGATCACGACGGGTTTTCCAGGTAACTGCAGCAACAAAGACTGCTTCTTCCTCCACGTGCAGCCAACTCCCAAGCCCCAGGACTGCCCTTGGTACAACCAAGGGTTCTGCAAGGATGGTGAGAGCCCGGCAGACAGGGATGGGATGCAGTGAGGGATGAGGGTTGCCCAGACGGGGATACTCGGCAGGCAAGGAGTACTACTCCTCACCGGGGCTTGTGCCATCTACAGGCCCCAGGGGAAAGCCTTTCTGAATTTGTCTGAGGCTTGCACGTCAGTGGAGAAATCTCCCGAGACACTGGGGAATGCAGCCTGGTGTAGGGCACAGAGGCTTCCCAGGGAGGGCTGGGGGATTCACAGCCTATCCTTCTCAATGGGTGGATGTGAGACCTTGGCTAAAAAGCCTAGCAGGCTAGGCACATGCTGAAGGCCACTTAAGTTCTACCCTTTGCCCTGCTCCCAGCCAAGCATAGAAGGTAGGGTGCCTGTGGGTCCTGGGACTTATGATCCCATGTCTTCCAGTGTGATGGGGAAAGATGGCTCCAGCATGCTCTCGCCTTTTTTGGGCTGGGGGAAGGTAAAGAAAGGGATGGAAGCCTGGGTAACATGATCTACTCCTGCTGTACCACTGAACCACATGCCCAGACCTTCCCAGAGGCAAGGTTTCTACCCCTGTCTGTCTCCTGGCTTCAGGGACATCCATGGCAGGAAGGCTTATGCACCCTCTTCCCAGTGGAAAGCCTACCGCAGCCCGTGTTCTTCCTCATGAACTATTTCATGTTTACTCCCTCCTTGGGAAGGAAGGCTCTCTTGCCATTTGTTCTTTGTCTACTAGGTCCCCTGTGTAAATACCGCCATGTTCATCAAGTCATGTGTCTCAACTACTTCACCGGCTTCTGCCCCAAGGGACCTAAGTGCCAACTTGGGCAGTAAGTATGATTCTTCCGTTCCCCAATCCACTGGAGCGCTGGGCCCTACCATCTGGATCTAGACCATCCTGGACTTTCCTTTGCCCTTAGTGGGAGATTACGTAGCTAGTGTATCCCTAGTGATTTCCATCTCTATTTTATTTTATTTTTATCTTATGAACATTAGTGTTTTGCCTGCATATATGTCTGTGTGAGGGTGTCGGGTCCCCTGGAACTGGAGTTACAGACAGTTGTGAGCTGCCATGTGGGTGCTGGGAATTGAACCCAGGTCCGCTGGAAGAGCTGTTAGTGCTCTTAACCACTGAGCCACTTCTCCAACCCCATCTACCTAGTGATTTTCATGGCACTGTTGTCCTCACCCTGGAGGTCTGGGTGCTGTTGGCTGGGTAGACTCCAGCCCTCTCTCTTAACACGTACTCACAATGGGGCAGGCATGTACCTTTCTCACAGGCTGTTCTAGAAATGAGTGGAAACATTCCTGGGCACTTTCTGAGTCCTTTGAAGCGCTGTGCAGGGCTTAGGTCGAGGACTCCTTCCCTGGGGGCTCTGGAATGGGAAGTCTGCAGCAAGCTAACAAGCAGGGCTAGAAGGCTAGAGCTGACTCTAGCACACACACTCTCTCTCCCTTGCCATCCCGTTCCTCCCTCCCTCAGTCCCAAGATGAGTCCAGTCCTGTACCCCAGTAATGTGAAGGTAAGTGTAGCCCACATAGTGTTTCCCTCTTTTGGCCCCCACACCTGTCCGGGTTTCCTGGCTCTGTGCTGTTCTCAGGAGACACCACTCTTTTGAGTCCCAGTCCTGTAAAAGGCGCATGGGGTCCTGTGTATGGGGCACCTTGTTGAAATAAGCAGGCTAGCTAAGGATAAAACAATTATATTCTATTTATTATAAGGGGAAAACTCACGAAGCAGGAAATGAGAAATCCAAGCACAGCAATGTCCCGTGGGAAAAGGCACAGAGAGTGTGCACACGGGAGGTGCACACGGTTTACCCTGGGTCCCAGCACCTGCATACAGTCGTCTGTCATTTCTGCACCCCTCCATAGGACCCCTCCATAATCTCCCCGAGGCCTTCCTTTTCTCTAGCTGGGTAATACGAGGATGGTTTCTTTCCTTTGCTTGCTGTTATGTTTTTTATTATTTATTTACTGTGTGTGTGTGTATGTGGGTATGTGCATGCCACAGTGGGTGTGTGGAAGTCAGAGGACAACAACAGGGGGCCATTGGTCTTCTCCCGCCACCTGAGTCCTGAGGACAGAGCTCAGGCCCTCAGGCTGGCTTGGCAGCAGGCACTTTTACCCACCAAGTCATCTTGCCACTGACAAAAACCAGGACTTCCAGCCCAAAGTCAGCTTTCTGAATGAAGACTAGGGCAATTCATAAATTTCCCTGGTTCCTAGGGAGATACATATTATCCCCATTGTTACCAGGCATCAGTGAGAACTCACACCAAGGGTCAGCACACTGCTGTCTGCAGGCAATGTCCTGCTCATCATATGTCCCCACCCCTACCTCAATGCTGGAAACTGGATCCAGAGTCCTAGGTGGCTAGGCCAGTGTTCTATTACTGAGCAACAGCTAACATCCCCAGCTTCCTAATGAGTGACTCCTTCCTTCCCTCCCATTTTCTCTCTTTTGAGGTTTTTGTTTTTGTTTGTTTTTTAAAGATATATTTATTTATTATGTATACAACATTCCTTCCCTGTATGCTTGCATGCCAGAAGAGGGCGCCAGATCTCATTACAGATGGCTGCGAGCCACCATGTGGGTGCTGGGAATTGAACCTAGGTCCTCTGGAAGAGCAGCCGGTGTTCTTAACCACTGAGTCATCTCTCCTGCCCCATATCTCTTTTCTTTTGTAATTACTGGGGGGCAGGTAACTTCTTCCAAAGGCAGTGTTGGATAAAAGTGTTGATAACACTGTGGAGGTGGAGGCAGAAGGTTCAGGTTCAAGGCCACCCTTGGCTAGTCTAGAATTTGAGGCTAGCCAGAGTCACATGGGACACTGTCTCAAAAATAAAGTGTGTGTGTGTATGTGTGTGTGAATATACTCAAGTCATGTCATATAAAATTCTTGAAAAACTAATTAAAAAAAATACATTGGGAACACCAAAACAAATCAATGCCAGTTCCCCATCCCAAAGCAATCTCTCATGTCAAAATACAAAAACCAGATTCCCAAACCTCAGAACCTGGGTATTTGGGTGACCGTGTCTACACCGGGAGTCTCTGCAGCAGGGGTACCTGATGGAGGTGGGTCTTGTATCTTATCTGTTGATTTCATTGGCTGAGCAATAAAGAAACTGCTGGCCCTGATAGGTTAAACGATAGGTGGGCGGAATAAACAGAATAGAATTCTGGGCGGAGGAGGAAGTGAGGTCAGACTCTGCTCTGCTTCCGGACAGACCAGACAACTCTGCTCTCTGGAGCAGAGACACCATGATGGACGGAGGCTAGAATCTTCCCGGTAAGCGCACCTTGGGGTGCTTACACACATCATTAGAAATGGGCTAGTCCAGGTGCGAGAATTAGCCTGTAAGGGCTAGAGTTCATGGGCCAAGCAGTTCTTAAATGAACACAGTTTGTGTGTTGTTATTTCGGGCATGAGCTAGCCAAGCGGCCGGGGTGTTGGGGACGCAACCCCGCCGCCGCTCTTATTTCAACAGGTACCTCCTGGCCCTCTGTCTGCAGCTTGTCAACCAGCCCGGGGATGGAACAGCTCCAGCTTCCTCTGGCAACACTCTAGCAACCCCTTCCCTGGCAAGGTTCACGGTCTACCGTCATAAGAGGCCGGCCCTGCCTCCTGCCTGCAGCTCAAGCTTCCCACCTGCCCCATAAGTAAGTGAAGGAGCCTGCAGGGCAAGGAGAGCGCTTCAGTCTCCTTAGGGCTGCAGGGGAGGTGCTGAGCATCTAGATGGAGACCATGACTCCACATCTGCAGCAGATGAGGATGCCACGCTGGGGTTCGGGGATGTGAATGGAGAGAACCGAGGGTCTGGTGGGAAGGTGCATGCCTGTAATCCCAGCATGCACCGGGCAGTCTGGAGGACTGCACCTAGTCCGAGGCTCATTTAATCTACTTAGGGAGCTCCAGGCCAGACAAGGTTATGTGCAGAGTGAGTCCCTGTCTGAAAAGAAAACTGAACTGCTGGGTGTGATGGTGTGTACCTTTGGTCCCAGCACTCTGAAAGCAGAGGCAGGGGATCTCTGTGAGTTCGAGGTCAGCCTGGTCTACAGAGTGAGTTCCAGGTAATCTAGGGCTCCATAGTAAGATCTTGTCTCAAGATAAATAAGTAGAATACAAAAAATAAATAATGCCTTTATGAGGTAGATTACTGTCTGTCCTGCACTGTGATTTTTCTCTTAAACCAATGATCAGGTGGCACACACCTTTAATCCCAGCACTTGGGAGGCAGAGGCAGGTGGATCTCTGTGAGTTCGAGGCCAGCCTGGTCTACAGAGGGAACTGAATTCCAGGACTGCCAGGGCTACACAGAGAAACCCTGTCTCAGAAAACAAAAAACAAATAAACAAAAAAGTGGAGGCAGGAGGATCAGAAGTTTAAGGTCATCCTTGGCTGTATAGAGAGGCAGCCTGGGCTACAGAAGACCTAGCTTCAAAAAGAAAAAAAAGTACAGTTACACCCGGATGCTGGGTAAGAGGGCAGAACTCTTTATTTTCTTGGATGTTTGACTTTGAAAAGCACGAACCACCTTGTCTGCAGGATGGGAGCTGAACGGGAACCTGAAGTCTCTCTTTTGGGTCCAGATTTTCCGATTATTCCCAGGCTGGTCTCAAACTATTGCACTTACTAGGTCTTCACACCTCAACTTTCTGAACCAGACTCCTGCGAGGCTGGAGAAGCCAATACATTCTTTTTTTTTGTTTGTTTGTTTGCTTGCTTTTTTTTTTTTTTTTTTTGAGACAGGGTTTCTCTGTGTAGCCCTGGTTGTCCTGGAACTCACTATGTAGACCAGGTTGGTCTCGAACTCACAAAGATCCCCCTGTCTCTGCCTCCTGGGGAACTGAGATTAAAGGCGTGAGTCACCATTGCCCAGAGCTAATGAATTCTTTAGAAAACTAGCCCATGGTTCTCCAGACAAGTGGGGACTTTTCTTTGCACAATTCATAAGAAGGCATGACCCTAACTTTCTCTCTTTTCTTCCAAACCCAGGCCACCAATGCCAGTGACGAAGGCTGTACCAGTCAGAGCCATCAAGACCCAGCCTGTAGCACAGGAACTGAAAATCCTCCTAGTAAAGGGGCTCCATGGCCTCCCCAGGGAATTCTGCACCCAGTGGTCCAGTGAGCCCCATCACCCCAGTGAGATACAGCCTACAGCATCTGGCCTATTTCCAACTACCCTGCGTGTGAACAAGCTGCCAAAAAAAAAAAAAAAAAAACAACAGGACCAGAGGTCGGCTGACTGTGGGAGGGAGGAGTTATCTGTGAACCAGTAGAGCCAAGTGCACTGAACTCAACCAGGTCAGTCAGTGTCCCATATTCAGCTCACATGCTCTTGCCGACCACTCTGGGCCAATGGTCTCAAGAGCTCCCGAAAATGGGCAATCCAATCAACCCGTGGCTTTCAGCTTCCCCGTATGGCTTGTTTAAATCTGAGAATATATTCTGTCTTACATGAAGTTGTATTAATTCCTTCTTCTTCTTTTGTTTCTATTTTTTTTTTTTAAATGCTGTGACAAAGCAGCTATCTTGGGGTTTATTTTGAGAGGACATAGTTAACCATGGCAGGAAAACCACAGTGGGAGTGTGAACTGGCTGGTTGTGTTGAATTCATTCAAGGAAGCCTAGAAACAGAAATGTTCAGCTTCCTTCTTTTTCAGATTCGGTCTGGGAATCCAGGACATGGAGAGGGTGCTACCCATGTACTGTAGCATGCTACATGGATTGCATGGATTCATGGGTTCATGGCCTGTCTTCTCCACTCAGTGAACCCCAACACCTTCCCAGACACATCCAGAGGTGTGGCTCCTAGGTATGCAGCCCAGCTGACATAGATTAACCCTCACCGGGGGATTAGGCCTTGGTATATAGAAAAGGCTTATCCTGCTGAGCTAAGGCAGTGACCAGGACAGTCTCCACCATGTCGTAGCAGACACAACAATGCCATTTATCCACTGGGAAGAAGGGGGCAGCTAAGTGGACTTTTCAGTACAGAAGAAGGCAGTCTGCAGAAGGACTAGGTGGAGCATGGCTACCTGGCCTCCTTTAGCATGATGAGGGCTTTGCTGAGGCAATGCATAACACAGGCCCAGGGGGCCAGTTTCCGTGTTCGGATACCATTTCAAACCACCCTAGGATGCTATGTGATAGCTTTTGGCCATGTAGAAAGACCGCCTAAGCTCCTCTAGCCTGCTTCCTCAAACTAGAACTCAAGCAGCCACGGCACGGGGCTGTCATACAGGTGAAATGACCCAGTACATGTGACAGAACTCTGCAGGACATGTGGTGGCATGGAGCACATGGTGACCGTTGCTGTCATGACAAGCATGTCATGACAAAGCTCTAGCATGTCAACAGTGCAGACCACATGTGACCAGCGCCTTTTACTTTCGTTTTTAATGGCTCTCAATATTAATGCCTTTCCCTTTGGGAAATTTTGTGTGAGATAAAAATATGTACAATGGGGGCTGGAGAGATGGCTCAGTGGTTAAGAGCATTGCTTGCTCTTCCAAAAGTCCTGAGTTCAATTCCCAGCAACCACATGGTGGCTCACAACCATCTGTAATGAGGACTGGTGTTCTCTTCTGGCGTGCGGGCATACACACAGACAGAATATTGTATACATAATAAATAAATAAATAAAAATTAAAAAAATATGTACAATGGTTGTTAGTATCCAGGCAAACACAAACCTGGCCCCGCCCCTTGGGGACCTGGCAGAGACAGAGTGGGCACCCTGTATGCATGGCAGGCAGTACCCTGACTCTAGGCAGGTGCAAAGGTCCTTTTAAGAGACAAGTCTCCCCTACTCCTGATCTCTTCCTGTTGCTCTAAAGAGGCAAGTAGGTCTCTGCCCCTCCCTCCCCCTCTCTCTCACTCCCCCCTCTCCCTTTCACCCTCCCTCCCTTCCTCTCTCTCTTCCCTTCCCTTTGCCCTTCTCTCAATAAACTCAAGCTCTATCTGCTTGGCCTATTTGTCTTTCATCTGCCACGGGACCTGCTAAAGGCCCCTCCCACTTCACCGTGTATTCATAACAATAGCCTCCCCTCTAAACAAAATTCTTTGGGGAAAAAGAAATCCCTGCTACCATGGAACCAGAAATTCCATCGTGCCCTGCTAATTATACCAAGAACAGGAGCGTTAGAGATTTACTAGGCGCACCTGATCGCAAGGATGAAATGCCTACAGTTCAGATCCAGAGCCTGAGGCCATTAAAGGCAAGAGTTCAGTTAATAAATACAGAGGAATCGAAATGGTGCGGTATAATGAGAAAAGAGTAAGACATCAGGGCCTTCCCTTTTAGGAGAGTTATGAGGGGAACAGGCCCATAGAGTAAGACGAGAAACTGTAATGTAGCATCTCTTCATTCCCTTGGGGGCCTGAGGAAAGTTCCTACTTGAAAAAGCAGTCCTTCTTATCTCTGGCAAGAGGAACTTGTGGTCCTTTCATTAACGCACAACTGGTGCCTACTGTCAAGTTCAAGGCTAGCTTCAACTCCAGATCTCAAGCTACACCCCAGCTCACAGGCCCTGTCTCCAGTTTAATCCTATATGCAGCTATGCAGTATACAGGGGTAACCTTTTCTCAATTAAAGGCTTCAGGCAGCCATTCCAATTCACCCTCAGATTGTGTCCATCTCTCTATGCCCCCTCTCCCGCCTCCTCACCTCCTCTTTGGAACCTGACCCCTCTGCCAAAGCTGGTCCAAGTGTGGGCTGCTGTGAAGCTTCTCTTTCCAGGTTGAGAGCTTTTAAACAATGTGTGCGTCCCTGTGGTGGTTTGAATGGGAATGGTTCCCATAGGCTTGTATATTTGAATGCTTGCTCCCCTAGTTTGTAGAAATGCTTGGGAAGGATTAGGAGGTCTGGCCTTGTTGGAGGAGGTGTGTCATTGAGTTGGGCTTTGAGGTTTCAAAAGCTTATACCATATCCAGTTAGCCCTCTCTGTCCCTCTCTCTGTCTATGGTTATCTCCAGATGTGAGCTCAACTCCTGCTTCAGCACCAGGGCTGCCTGCCTGCTGCCATGTTCCCTGCCGCTGTTGTGCCTGCGCGCATCACAGGACCCTCATATTGGATGCAAACACACTGGGGCTTATTCAAACTAGAGTGGACCATAATCCAACACACTGACACAGCAGTAGGGGGAAATGACCCTGAGGCTTCAGGGCAAGGGTTTTTTTTTCTTTAATTTTTTTTTAATATTTATTTATTATGTATACAATATTCTGTCTGTGTGTATGTCTGTAGGCCAGAAGAGGGCACCAGACCTCATTACAGATGGTTGTGAGCCACCATGTGGTTGCTGGGAATTGAACTCAGAACCTTTGGAAGAGCAGGCAATGCTCTTAACCACTGAGCCATCTCTCCAGCCCCTTTTTCTTTAATTTTTGAGACAGGGTTTCTCTGAAGTTTTTGGTACCTGTCCTGGAACTAGCGCTTGTAGACCAGGCTGGCCTCGAACTCACAGAGATCCGCCTGCCTCTGCCTCCCGAGTGCTGGGATTAAAGGCGTGCGCCACCACCGCCTGTGGCACAAGCCTTGGCGTTTCAGGATTGGATACAAGTATACAACTTTTGATTTCGTTAGTGGGGGTAGAGGGGACTTTCAAAACAGTGATTGTCAGCAGACAGAAATTTAAAAACAGCCGTTAATCAGATACCTAAAAGGACCTTCGAAGCAAGCAGATGTTGTTTGGATACCCTGGTGGGTCGCTTTGCCCAGGGCAGGCCCAGTTTATGATTGCTTATGACTTTGCTGGGCTACACTCACCCCCTAGTTAGGTCCTGTATAAAATATTCTTTCTCAAAATGGAGTTTGTTCTGTTCCTTCGCCATGATGGTCATGGACTTACCCTATATAAGCCTCTGTAAGTTGCCTTAGTCATGGTGTCTCAGCAGAGCGGTAGAGTAGGAAAGTTACAAGTCCCCATCAACCGTCCCTTCTTGGATTAGCGTTACACATCTTTTCAGGGAGAGTCAAATCTATCCCAATTTAAGCGTTCAGAAAGGAGGCTCAGGGAACCTATACCACCCGTCCCATGGTGCTGCCAACCACTTCTCTGAGGACGGAAGAGGTGAATGATCCACTCAGAGGTATTTATTTTTTAAAAATATTTTCATTATGAAGAGTGTTGACTGGTTTTTTTCATTAAGATAGCCTGTGAATAATACGATAAATTGTATTTTCCTTTCTTGATACAGGGTCTTATGTTGTGGCCCAGGCTGTCCTCAATCTCACTAAATAGCTGAGGTTGACCTTGTCTCTAACTCCCGAGTGATAACTACATATACAGCTCCACTGTATTTCTTTGTGTGGTGCTAGGGAACGGAACCCATGGCCTCTAGTGACATGCGCTCTTCCACTGAGCTACTTTAACCCTTAAAATAGCTTTTAAGACAAGTTCTCATTATGTAGATCAGACTGACCTTGAACCTGTGATTTCTTTGCCCCGATTTTTTTTGAGACAGGGTTTCCCAGTAGCTGTGGAGCCAGTTCTAGAACTCCCTTTGTAGATCAGGCTGTCCCTGCCTCCTGAGTGTGCATGTGTGTGCCAGCGAATTTGTCATTTTCTTGCCTCAACCTCCCAAGGTGTGCTTCACCGTGCCTGGATTAAGATCCAGCATTGCTTTTGTTGTTGCTGGAGAGCATACCCAGGGCCTCATTCAAGCCAGGGAAAATCTACCTCTGGGATACACCCCCAGGTCCTGTGTATGTGGCGGGGGTGGGGGTGGGGAGTGGGGGTGGGTGGTTGGGCATGCAGACCACATTTTAGTGGAGGTCAGAGGTGTGGGAGTTGCTTGTCTCCCTCTACCATATGGGTCCTGGAGAGTCAAACTCTAAATTTGTTTGTATTTTTCCTGTTATGTGTAAGACCATAAGCATGCCTAGTGCCCTTGGAGTTCAGAAAAGTGTAATTTCCTTTGGAACCAGAGTCACAGTAATGAGCTGCCATAAATACCTCCATAAAACCCAGCTGTGGGCTTAATTAGTGATTCGCGTGGGAGGGCCCAGCCTATAGTGGGTGGTGATATAAGAAATCAGACTGAGCAAGCCAATAAGCAGCTCCCCTTTCCATAGCCTCTGCATCAGCTCCTGCCTCTGTTCCTGCCCACTTCTATCGAAGATGAACAGTGTTGTGGAAGTGTGACTTACCCCCGCCTGGTGGCCCACACCTCTAACCCCGCAGTCTGCAGGTGGATCTCCGTGGGCCAGCCAGGACGACAGTGTGACCCTATGTTCAAAACGAAACACGTGCGACGACTCTACTCTTTTCTACGACCGAGCAGCTGCTGAGGTTTATAGCTCGTCTGCCCCATTTCGTCTCTTAAGCGCTAATAGAATTGTTTTTTAACAAAAGAAACAAAGAGGTGGTTTCAGCAGTTTTATTATCGGCATCCTCCCTGCCCGCAGCACAAACTTCGAGTGTTTCGTCCGCTCTGCAGCTTCTCTGTCACACCCTCCGTGGCTCTC